TATACCTATCTTATGGTAAGCAGACCATTTTTCCAATCAGATTTTGGTATGCAAATTTTCGTGTAGAGATCTATTTAAGAAAATAAGGGTAAAGCATACGTCTTCATTGATGGATGTGTGACAGATGCCTTTGCACAAATCTATCTTCAAGTGCATTTATTTTATTCTGCGAAATTCTAAGTATGTTTCAGGACGAATTACAGAGTAAATTTGAGAGATAACTTTCAAATATTCGTATGATGCACGATCCTCGCAGTAGATAGCGCTATTTAAGCAATAGCGAAAATCAGACCTGAAAAAAATCAGGCCTGTACGGGATTCGAACCACTGACCTCTGCGATACTAGTGCAGCGCTCTACCAATTGAGCTAACAAGCCAACTGGGAGCAGGCCGTTAAGTTGATTCGTAATAAACCCGTGAAAGTGATAAATGAGATACAATGAAATATATGAAGTTCATATATTTTGTACTGCGGTATTAGATACATATGATGCACGATCCTCGCAGTAGATAGCGCTATTTAAGCAATAGCGAAAATCAGACCTGAAAAAAATCAGGCCTGTACGGGATTCGAACCACTGACCTCTGCGATACTAGTGCAGCGCTCTACCAATTGAGCTAACAAGCCAACTGGGAGCAGGCCGTTAAGTTGATTCGTAATAAACCCGTGAAAGTGATAAATGAGATACAATGAAATATATGAAGTTCATATATTTTGTACTGCGGTATTAGATACATATGATGCACGATCCTCGCAGTAGATAGCGCTATTTAAGCAATAGCGAAAATCAGACCTGAAAAAAATCAGGCCTGTACGGGATTCGAACCACTGACCTCTGCGATACTAGTGCAGCGCTCTACCAATTGAGCTAACAAGCCAACTGGGAGCAGGCCGTTAAGTTGATTCGTAATAAACCCGTGATGATAAATCAGATACAATAGATATATGAAGTTCATATGTTTTGCACTAGTATCGCAGAGGTCAGTGGTTCGAATCCCGTACAGGCCTGATTTTTTTCAGGTCTGATTTTCGCTATTGCTTAAATAGCGCTATCTACTGCGAGGATCGTGCATCATATGTATCTAATACCGCAGTACAAAATATATGAACTTCATATATTTCATTGTATCTCATTTATCACTTTCACGGGTTTATTACGAATCAACTTAACGGCCTGCTCCCAGTTGGCTTGTTAGCTCAATTGGTAGAGCGCTGCACTAGTATCGCAGAGGTCAGTGGTTCGAATCCCGTACAGGCCTGATTTTTTTCAGGTCTGATTTTCGCTATTGCTTAAATAGCGCTATCTACTGCGAGGATCGTGCATCATATGTATCTAATACCGCAGTACAAAATATATGAACTTCATATATTTCATTGTATCTCATTTATCACTTTCACGGGTTTATTACGAATCAACTTAACGGCCTGCTCCCAGTTGGCTTGTTAGCTCAATTGGTAGAGCGCTGCACTAGTATCGCAGAGGTCAGTGGTTCGAATCCCGTACAGGCCTGATTTTTTTCAGGTCTGATTTTCGCTATTGCTTAAATAGCGCTATCTACTGCGAGGATCGTGCATCATATGTATCTAATACCGCAGTACAAAATATATGAACTTCATATATTTCATTGTATCTCGTATGTATGGATGGATGGATGGATGGATGGATGGATGGATATATGTATGTTCCAAATCATGATTTCCTTAGGGTCATACCTTGACTCTGCTCAATTGAGTATAAGTAGCGGTCCACGGCTATATTCCCAAGTTTTGCATCTTTGACTTCTTCCTTCAGCGCTCTTTCTACAGAGCTGCCTGTGTCTTGGAATGTTTTTATCAAAATATCTGCTTTTACTGATACTGGCCTATGAAACAATCGTCAGATTTCATATCAAAGTCGATTCCGGCTTAAAAGGCACTGAAGGAAACAAATACCACTTACCAAAGCCTCATTAAGTTAGCGCCAAGGAACCTTGGAACATCGTTCATCGCTGACTGTACCTTCGATACAAAATGCAAAATATTAGTGATCTCGCGTCATAAATAAACGGATCACGATGTCAAAGATTATGAGGACATCAATTAGGCAATAGCCAGAATATGATAACTGATCTTGTTTAACAAGATAATCTGGTTTTATTAGTTGAGTTGATTTTGTACAGCTGACGAATCGAGCGTTAGCCCTGGCTTCGTCAGAGTGAATCCGATCTTGATCTTGATTGAGACTTACTTCTGACTTAATTCTCCGGGCCAGATCTTGGAATTCCTTTGAATCCTTGTTGTTCATATTAGCGTTAAATTCTTGATTTGTTAACTTCACTCTGAACAGGATATACTTTGCTCCAGTTTCTGGTGAGAACGATTCGTTAGAAACTGCATCAGAGTTTGAGCAGCTCGCAGAAGCAACGAGAACTTTGTTTACATTACAAATACTCTTAAAAGATAAATGTCACGAAATGACTGTGAATATATGAAATTCATAGATGTGAACTGCGGATTAAGAAACTTAAAATGAAAGGGATCTTCCCAGTAATGAACACTACTTAAGCATGCAGTGGTGAAAATATGGCCCGAATAAAATTCAGTCCTGTCCGGGATTTGACCCATGACCTTTGCGATACCGGTGTAGTGCTCTACCAACTGAGCTAACAAGCCAACTGGGAGCAGGTCAGAGGTCATAGGTTCAAATCCCGTACAGACCTAAATTTTTTTCAGGTATTAATGATTTTCACAACGGTTCGAGTAGTACTGCAAAGACCGCTTTCATATTCATATTTGTAAATTGTTGCATCGCATACATTTGACAATAAAAACTTCTGTTTTTGCTCAGGTTTCAGTTCTTCAGTGCTTTTAAAGACGCATTTCGAGTTTTAATGCCAGTTTCAAAGTCCCAGGGACTCTAACTGTCGAAAAACAAACTATATCATAATTTGTATTTAAATCATCGATCCATAACGCGATAATAGGGATGACTTGTAACAGATACTGTGCAGTTTCAGATCACCACGAAGTACAAGAGTTATGGTTGGTTTTGTTGTTTTTACAATGAACGCTATTACTTACGATCTACGGAAATCTTCATTTTGCGTTTATCTCGTCCAAGGCCGTTCTCTGCCTCACAGAGAATTGTTGAATTTATCTTAGCTTTGAATTCGATTGTTATTTCTGACCCATCTGATTTCACTTTCACACCATCGGCGTCCTGAGCAAGCTGGTCATTGAACTTCAGTTGAACTTCTGGAGGTGGGTTGCCTGTGGCAATACATTTGACTTGAACTGTCTCACCAAGAGTCACCTTTCCCGGGTCTTCAAATCTGACCGTCGGAGGTTCTAAAAATAAAGAGGGTACATTTCTTACAGAGCTTCTCTGCGTAATCTTCCGTCCTTAGGTCACTTGAAGACTAATGAATGACACTATTTACTAAGACATGCGAGTAGTCCTTTGCTGTTGTTTGGGAAAATATTTCCTGACAGTTCTCAAAGTTGAACATTTACCTTGTGTCGTGGGTTGAGTTGTTACAGGGACCGAGCCACTAGTGACTAAACGAGTTGGCGACGAAGTCGCACTTGGCTTGGCATGTGTTGGTTGTAGTTTGCCAGTCTTGATGATGGAAGAAGAACTTTTCCCAACTTTTCCAGGTGTGGTGGTAACAGCAGAAGGCTTAACAATGGAACTTGTCGGAGAGAATTCCAACTGATCAAGCTTCTTTACATCTTGACTGAAAGATGATTTTGTGGCAAATCTTGTTTTTGATGGCGTTATTGAGACAGTGACGGCCGGGAGTGACGAGGTCTCGACACTTTCTACGACTGAACATTACCTTTGTTATTTATTTAGTTATTGTAGTGTGATATTTATGTAGCCTTGTAACTGAAAAACCCTTGTGGGGAGTTGCAATAAAGTACGGTATGTATGCATGCATGTATGTGTGTGTGTGTGCGTGTGCGTGTGCGTGTGCGTGTGCGTGTGCGTGTGCGTGTGTGTGTTTTACATTGACCGTGGCTGGACTGGACACAGATAAACCTCCTACATTGTCAAAATATCCAATCAGACAAAACAACATTTTCAATAGAACATTATAATTAATATGATATTGTAGAATGATCATTTAAACTTTATCGCCTTTTCTATTTCTCAATCTAATTAAATCAATGAGCGTTGCAAACTTTTTTCTTTTCGCTGATCTTTATTTGCTACTCAACTACCTTCTATAGATCTCCAATTGTCACAAAGCTGGCCCTCTCAAACAGTTTATTTTTTTGTCACTGGGTTGTTTAGGAGAGAGATAACTAAATCACAGCCAAGCCAATAGAGAGTTGAAAGGGTTAGCGATAAAACAAAAGGAACACACAATAAATATATTTTTACATCATACAGTGGATACTCACCACACTTGAAATAATCATTCGTGAGATCCTTAAAGTCTGGTCCATCTTGCTCTCGTGTAGTGTTGCATTTCCCTTGTAAGGCAATTCCTTTCGTTCTGAGTTTTTTCCAGCGATGGTAGAATTGGCAGTCACATTTTACAGGATTAGATCGTAGGTCTCTACAGGGAATTAAAAGAAAATAATAATGAAAGAGAATATTTTCAGTCTGCAATGATGGAGACCATTCTGGAAATAGGAAATCGGACAGATTTAAATTAACTTCAGACTCGAAAGTCTAAATGGACTCCCCCAGAGGGCCAATTCGCATCATTAGACTTTTTTTATCAAAAAATGCTGCCACGATATCAACAAACTTGACTTCAAACGTATTACCAAATTTTCTAATCTCTCTTCTGAAGAATGATCGGCTCTAAAAAGTCTTAGAAAACGTAAAGACATAGTTATCAAAGCGGCCGATAAGGGCGGCTCAGTCGTTGTTTGGCGCAACGACCTCTACCAAAAAGAAGCTTTGCGGCAACTTACTGACACCTCTTTTTATCAAAAGGTCGACAAAGACCTCACTGCCAGCAATCAAAACACCGTCAAGAATACGATCAACCAACTCATAACTAAACAAGAATTGCCGGCCACAGCAAAAAATCTCATCATAACCACTCCTAGAACTTCTCGTATTTACTTTTTCCTAAAATTCAGAAACCTAACAACCCGGGTCGGCCCATTGTCTCGGCTTGCAGTTGCTCTACCGAACTTATCTCCAGCTACCTAGACAAAATTAGGGCTCCCATCGTCAAAACTTTACCAAAGCCTCATTAAGTTAGCGCCAAGGA